CATCTAGTTACCCACTCTGGAATTAAGGCATACAGCTGTGACATCTGTGGAAAAACCTTCAGTCGGATAGACAGCCGAAATATACACCTACGCATTCACACTGGACATGATGTGTACTGCTGTGATCAGTGTGGCAAACAGTTCACAGGTGACGCACAGTTACAACGCCACATGTTTACCCACACTGAGGAGAGACCTTATAAATGTGACCTGTGTGAGAAGACTTTTAAATCTCCACGTTACCTGAGAGAACACCAAAAGATCCACACCAGAAAGAGACTCTACAAGTGCAGTTAGTGTGAGGTATGTATTTATATTTTTATCTGTGTTAACTGAAACAGTAAAATGTAATTGGACGTCTGCAGAGATGCTCTTTATTTCAGGCGACGTTCAGGATAAAAATGTTGAAGGACTGACTTACACTGTCTTTGTGTCTTTGTTTAGAAGCAGAGCGACACAGATGGATCCACTTCTCAACCCTGTCATCGCTGTGGTGGTGGGAAAGACTTTCATTGTGACCTTTGTGGAAAAACTTTCAGTTGGCAAGGCTCCCTAAAAACACATCAACGAAGACACACTGGAGACAAACTGAAATACTGCAAAGAATGTGGGAGAAGCTTCACCACATCAAGTTACTTCAAACAACATAAACTGATTCACAGTGGGGTTAAAAAGCACCTCTGTGATCAGTGTGGGTCATCCTTCACCACTGCAAGTCAGCTTAAATCACACAAACGATCCCACGTTACTAATAAACTGTTTCACTGTTACCAATGTCTGATGGGCTGTTGTGTTGTTGTTGGTGATGCTGGATGAAGGGCTGGTGGACCAGGTGAGCTCAGGTTGAGGGTAGATCCCGTCTGAGCTGCAGGTGATCCTTTGTCCTACTTGTTGGAGATTAACTTTACGGACTGGAGCTGGAAAAAAAACTAAGAATAAAAAAACTAAAGAAAAATATATTTCTAAACAAGTCAGAACACAATTTTCCTTTTCTGTTTATTCCATGTTAACATGATTTAACTTAACAAAAATCATGTAAACATGGTGAATGGATTGCTGAGGACTGGGGCAAAGTCATATTCTCAGATGAAGCCTCTTTCCGATTGTTTGAAGCATCTGGAAAAAGGCTTGTGCAGAGAAGAAATGGTGAGCGCTACCATCAGTCCTGTGTCATGCCAACAGTAAAGCGTCCTGAGACCATTCATGTGTGGGGTTGCTTCTCATCCAAGGGAGTCTGCTCACAATTTTGCCCCCAAACACAGCCATGAATAAAGAATGGTCCCAAAACACCCTCCAACAGAGCTACAGATTAAAAATGCCCAAGGCGAAGCACTCAAAAGTCTGGCTGTACTTCACAGCATCTGATGAAGCACCTGGTGATGCATAGAGTTTTTGTAAAAGCTAGAAAATGCACCGTATTTGACAGCTTGCTGCAAGGTCGAGCACATCTATTGCGGATGTGGTGCCTGTTATCGGACCTGGAGTTAGCAACATCCCCCAAGAACCCGAAGAGTGGAGTCCTGGCCTCTAGCCCTGCCAGTGTAGCACCGGTTCCAACCAAAGGAGTTATGTTGTATCAACAGAAAAGGCTAACTTGGTTATTATTTTGCAGAAAAAAAGAGACTGCTAAAAATAAAAACACAAGAGGTTTTTGTACAAAGTTTGTGTTTTCCATTCTTTAAGCTCCAGTTTGAGCACAGTTTAAGCACCGGCACGGTTTCAAAATTTCCGGTTTGGCACTGGTATCGGATAAAACTTAAAGGATACCCATCCCTATTTGTTACCATGTTTCCATTGTGTAGTGTAGTCGATAGGTTTGTTTTCTTTGTCAGAACAATGAGGCAACTGCAACTGTATGACATATATACCTGTATACACTTGACTTATACTGACATGTATACACTATACATACACTGGAGTG